AGAAAATTCTGAATTGTCGTGTTGCAATCTCTCACAAACTGTCTTGGCCTTCAAATTAATTTTTTAAACCCTTATCTGATTTTTGAGGTTTGAGATTTGATGGTGGAAGAATAACAATATTTAAGTCGATTGTAACTGGAACAGTAAGGGGAATCCTACACACATATTTTTCACCTGCAATTATATCAATGACAAAACACTTATGAAATCAAGTTCCAGCTTTACAAAATTTTATCCAAACAAAAGTTATCTGCAGAAATGATTTCTATTTTAGTTCATAACTATAATCTTATGTTTTCTTTACTATTCATAAAAAGAGACAGATGGCATATTGCAGAGTACAGTACCCCAGATCTCTTAACAGTCATTCACTTTTTTCCTGTTTGCATCATCTCTGAAGTAAGCACAAACTATATCTGATTCAAGATAAAGCATTTTTTTTTGTATTTTAACACATAACTAAAATGGTGTGCAAAATTTCCAATGAAATTTAGGTTTTGAAATTGTACAAAAATCCTTAATCACAGTTTTAAAGTAGTAGCTTTCTGAAACTCTGATAATGAATGAAGAAATTAATCTACTAAATACAAATGGAATGAACCCACCCAGATTTCATAAATTTTGGTAAAATTGTAGTTATTCTGATTTAAATCAAAATCAATATACTAAAGAGTAATGTTTCTGAATATATGCTTTAATGAGTATCTGTTGGAAACACACAAAGTGACAGAAAAATCTCTTTAACAGAACAGAAGACACATGCAGTATCCCCAAAATACATGAATTTTCGCAGCACCATGAGAATATATTCTCTAAACATTAGAAGAATTTAAATACAATCAGTGCTTAAAAGAGCCTATTTTCCATTAACAGAAACTATTATTAAAATGTATCAATACAAAAATGGCTTCATGAGCTACTAATGTCTATATATCTGTTCTGAACTCTCAAATACACAACAGCAGTTATTTATCAATATGTTACTGTATATCTGAGGATAATAAATTTACAATGAACAAAATTTAAAGTTTTAGTTTTCAGTATTATATTTCACTATTATCGTCTAACTGCACCGGGATACTATAAAATTAACTATTTCTAAGAGTATTGTAGATAGCTTTAAATCTTAAAAATAAAAAATAAAAATCCTAGAATTTATTATTATTAAGAAATGAGTAAATTTCAGAATTCTATACAGCCGATGCTATGAAACAAACAATATTCCCTGGAATGAGAGAACAAAATCTTCCCCCATAAGTATATGCTAGTTTGTTAGTATATAGCTACTTTATTTAGTATATAGCTAATCAAAGACTATAGTCTCAAAGGATGCCCAGAACACTTCGGTGAGTCAGAATGTATACCTGTTCAGTCCCAAAAGAATATTATCATCTAGGTTAAAAAATAATTTTTTAAGAAAAAATGCCAATCAGATAAAATTTCATACCATTTCCCCAAAGAAATTAATAAACATTTTCATCTTCATGATTTCCCTCTTTTACATATCCCTAAATTTAAAAAGGCATTTAAATAAATACGCTAAAAACGTATAAATTTATTGAAACTATTCAATGAGAGTGTTTTTGCATAATTTATGACAAGGACATAAAATAATACTATATCACTTGACTAAGGAGTATTGAGCAGCCCATACATTTTTAAATTTAATTGTGCAGCATAATTAAAAATCAAAGAGTAAATAATTCAAGTAACTCTATAATGCCACTGAGTTAGACAGAATATCAAAAGTTATATTAGCCTAGTAAATAAGTTTTTAAAAAGTTCAAAAGTAATTTAAAAAAGTATTTGTGGATGAAATTATATGTCTGGGATTTGCTTTAAAAATAATACAAAAGTGGAAGAGTTGGTAGGGGTAGAAATGAAACAAGAGTGACCATTTTTTCATAACTGTTAAGGCTGGGTGATATGTTCATGGGAGTTCATAATAGTATTCTCTCTTTCCTATATATCTGAAAATCTGTATAAGTTTAAAGAGTAATAAAATTTTTCTTTATCTCTTTAAAACTAAGTAATACTTTTTAAAAAATACACGAAGTTTATAGAGAGTAAAGAGCTATAACTAAATTACCAAAATTTTCAGGACCAAATTGGCTTACTAAGTAGCTATTACTACAATCAACTCTCAATGAACTTGACTGACTAGATCACTGTTTCCTACATCTTTCAAAAAAAAAAAAAAAAAAAAAAGACATTTTAGGGATTATCCTCCTTATTTAGCAAGACATTTTAGATTATGCTCCTTATTTAGCAGTAAAATGATTATCAACCAAAACAGAGAACTGTTGGCAAAACATTTTTTTTTTTTTTTTGCTATTTGTTTTTTCTGTTAAATAAGTACTAAGTAGGGAACACAGTCAATAACACTGTAATAACTATGTATGGTGTCAGGTGGGTATTAGACTTACTGGGGTGATGACTTCATAAGTTATATATAATGTGTAACCACTATGCTGTACACCTGAAGCTAATATAATATCAAATGTCAACTGTAATTGAAAAATAAAGTTTTTTTTAAAAAGTACTAAGAAAGAAAGACAAATGGCCTAAGACTTAAAATATAGATTTAACCTGTCTTCCTCTGCCATGAAGAAAAAAAACAGCATATCAAGTTTAAACACTTGCACATTTCAGATTTAAATAAAAATTATTTTGATATTCCTTCTGTTTCTAATTAATGGAAACAATGATCTTATCTCTACACAGGTCTCCTAAGATACAAACAGTTATTAGCTTCCTAACACAACAATGAGCTTGTGCTGGGAATTTGACTAAAACGCACTGTTAACTAATTGGCAGCAGGACAGACATACTAGGTCAAGAGCTGAGCTATAGTCCTATAGTTTTTACTAATGACCTATGTGACCTAGGACAACTCACCTAACCTCTGAGATTTAGTCTCATGTGCCAAAGGCACATGATTTTGACTTTTAGCATTGTAATCCAGCATACACATAAATATGTACATTATTGAAACATAGTTTTTACTCTTATTTTGAGTCTTACTCTAATGTTTACTGTTTGGTTTTATTATATTTTATTTTTCATAATGCCATGAATAACCTAAATTAATTTCAAATTACCAGTTTAGAAAATCTTGAATTACACCATCTCTAAGGTCTCTTCTAACTCTGATATTTTGGGATTCTAATATTAGCTTCAAAATATACCATCTTCCATTTCAGGTAAAAATCAAAAGTTCAGAGAATAAGCCTTCTAAAATCCTATAGCTAAGATATCTGTACAATAAGAAAACTATAAGATTATGAATTGTCTTTAACATAATTAAAAGCTTAAATTGACCTGTTAAGTTTTATTTTCAGAACTTAAATATCTCTATGGCTAATCTATAGATTCCAGCAGTCAATAAGGCTCTATCTTCAAATTAAAGTAAATAATTCCTATTAGACTCCCAAGAACGAAGAAAATCGATAGATGACGACCAATCCCAGTTAATAACTCCAAATACCGAAGATTAGCAAAACAATAACATTCAGAAAACTTCTGGTGCATAAAGTAATCTAGAAACAGTTTTCATAAATGTTACATACTAAAGTTCTTATTTCTAAGTGTTTCACTATTCAATGCATGTGACTCAAGTGTTAGCCAAAGAAATCAAGTTTAAAGTTATGTTCAGTGTAAAGTCCATTTATTAAATGTATGTTAAATATAATTTAATATTTTAAATTTTCCTCCTTCTACATATTTTTAAAAATTGCATACTAATCACATTTAGCACTGTAAACTTTAACTGTAACTGCATATTTTAAAAACCTGTATGTTTTATAAATCACATAGTCTCCAGATCAGAGGAACTAAAAATGCTCATGTGTTCAGTCATTTTTATAGCTACAAAAAAAAAAGTATGCCTATACTGTAATAAAGTATGATCTCCAAGATAATTCTAAGATATGGCTACTGTTTATGCAAACTATTAGCATTTTTAGAAACAAATCAGAATAGCGTCACAGTAAAATAGTTTCTACCCATTCATTCCTGAAGAAAACATCTCATTCTCTTCCTCAGCAGTTCCTCAATGTTAGTTTCTAATAAAACCTAATCCTGTACATCTAATAGTCAATAAATTCAATAACAAAATTCTCATGAAAAAGAGTTTGGAATATCTCACTTCACAGATCTTCTGAACATGCTAAAGAATATAATTTTTAAAAATTGTTCCCAAAAAAGATTCACATTAAAGGGAAAACTTTTCTTAATTTCAACTATAAGCACCTAGTCAAAAGGTTCCAAAGAAAGATTAAAAATTAACTTTAAGACAACGACTAATAAGTATGTTTACATTTGCAATACTGCAGTTTCACAGACCTCCTTACATCCAAACATACTATAGTATGGCCAATAATTAATGTAACTGGTTTGGAATACATTTAGGATAAACTATCTTTTTTAAAAAGTATCAAATTCTTTTAAAATTCAGAAGTATGTGAAGATTTATCTTCTGTTAGTTCGTATGCAAAAATAATTCTGACATTAACAGGGTCATTCTAGAAGTTACTCTAATAATTTTCTTCTTTTTGTGAAATTATACAGTGAGATCACCTGAGACTATGGTAAAGCTTAATTTCAGAGTAGGAAGTCTATTAAAAAAAATTATAACCCTAAAGAATATACATGAAAATGGAAACCAGGTTACCAAAGGGGGCCTTTTAGGGACTATGTATAAAAAAAAAATCGAAGAGTTTTACAACAATACGTATATTGTTTCACTGAAAAACAATCTGTATTATAATTAGCTCAGTAGCCCTTTTTCTACATAGATAAAAGAAATGTTCATCCCAATCCATCTAGGCAACTGTAAGTTACTAACATCTTTCTGACATTAACAAAAACACTCAAAAAAAAAAAAAAAAAGTCTAACCTGGAATTTTCACTCAGAGTTGTAACTTTGCAAGATTTATCTGAAACCCAAATAACTTTTTTACACATTTTACTTAATCATGATGGTTGAACTGAATCTGTACCTATGTGAAAATGATAATGCATTCTGAGTTGGTTCAGCTCTTGGCTCTGAGTTCTGTGTCACATCAGGTGTTCTTTCATCATCTGTCCCATTGATACTTTCTGGTGTTAAAGGAGACTGAAGATCCCCGCCTGCTGATTCCTTAAAAACAAAGAGGGGTAGGGTAGTATTATATTTCTGTTAAAACACACAAGGTCATCTTAAAGTTATAACCGACTCTGATGTATGCTTATTTATAAACCATATTTCAACTGAAATTTAAGTAGAAGATTTAAAAAATAAAATTTGAAGGAGAAATAATTTTTTTCAAGTAGAGCAACTCATAAGAAAACTTCTGAAATGTAATACAATTTAGAAATGTAGTTTCAAAGAACTGAAAAACCTTTGGGTTTCTATAAGCAACTGATTGGTTAGAATAAAAGATATCCAAAGAACTACTTGAGAAGAAAAAGAAGATAACACAAGAACGCAAGATGTGATTTTATTTGGGAGAAGGAAAGCATAGAAGAAAATCCTCAATAAGTTTTAATTTTTTTTCTGCCCTACTTTTTGATTCCTAGAGTTATTTTAAAAAGCAACCAGAAATATCTCTATAACATATTATACATAATGATGTTACTGTATTTCCACTTTTCTTGCCGGCTACTCATAATGGAATTATTTTTCTTCACAAAATTTCCTGTCTTATTTTTAATTAAGATTTGCCTATCAAGGTATTTTTATCCCTCTGGAAAATAAATAGAATTCAAAATGAAACTACAGCTGACATTTCTCCTTATAATTGTCATTATCAGATTATCCAAATTCGGTATTAGAAATTAGAATGAGGGGTCACTTGATAAACCTGTTAACCAGGGGGAGGTCTTAGCACCAGATGGTTAAAGAGTTTTGGTGGTCCCTTGTTATCTCTGGGCAATAGAACTTCACAATTGAAATATTAGGCTATGTTAGGAAACAAAATGAAAACTCAGTGTCCAACAGGGAACTGTTTAGATATGGCCATAATCTGTCAACCTAAAAGAATAAAAGAGTTCCTCAATTAAAAAATAAGAATATGTGTAATACAGGAAAATGTTTACAATTAGAAAAATATATGAAAATATAAGGATAAATCTAGGTTATGATAACTTATATGCTTTACATAAAAAATACTGCACATGAAGTAGTGCTAGAAAGAAATATGGAAAGTATTAATGTGGTGAATCTAACTTTCTTTTGGGGGCTTTTAGTTTTATACTGCTGTATATATTTCACATTTAAATATTTTAACGAATAATACCATATGTTATAAATTACATAAGCTATCAAAGCTCAAAAGGCAACTCTCATGATTCCACATTACCACTTAACTGTTTTTCAATTATTAATGGAACCTCTATTTTGACCTTTAATTTCACTCTTATTAAATCTTTCTCCTAAATCCTTTTTGTTTCCATTAATTGTCAGTGCATGAATAAAGTTTACAGTATAATGTGACAACATAAAATTGTTTTACAACAAAGTCAAATCCTATTAAGTGAAAAATGGGAACAGTATCCAAAGTGACTATTTCTAGGTCAATTACAGACCATATCGATTAGCCAGAAAAAGTTGAAGCAGCCAGTAAGAAACTATGTTATCGTCTTTGGTTTCAATAAACCAGGACTATTTTTCTCCAAGAAAGGCCAAACCAAACTAAAATAATCAAGGCTGACTGTCTAATCAGCGAAACAGTGAAATGGCTAAGACCTGATTCAGTGGAAATGATGACAGGAACAAACTGCCTTGTTAACGTGAAAGGACATAACCAGCATTAGCCATCAAGGATTCAATGAGGGATTTGCTAGAAACGGTTAACAAGAATGTGAGGGACGAAAATAGATTAGGATTAAAAGAGAGGGAAGAAGAGGAGTAGTAGCTTGATTTCTGGTTCTTATTACCTTCTGGAGGAAGATTAGGAAAATTAGCATAGGTTTTGGGGAGGCTAGAAAAGTACAAAGACTTCTCAGAGGCAAGCTAAGTAGAGAAAGAAGAGGAAAAAAGGATAGGGGTTGCAACAATGCAAAAATCTCAACATGGCAAATTTTTCTCCAGAATACTTGAATATTAGCTATATTTAATGAAAGGCATATTTAATCACCTTAGATCCTCATATCTAAAATGAAAACAAAATGCCTAAAGCATGGTTTTTAAAAGTAGGTTTTTTTAAAAAAAGCATATTTGCTCACAAGAACAAGTTTCAACAGCACTAAGGACATAATAGGAAAATAAAATGCTCTTGCTCTCCAACTCCCCCACAGGTGGCCAAAAGTATTCTGTGAAATCTTCCAGAAATTTTATAGTGCCAAAAATAGCACCGTGACACTTGTCTTATTTAATGTATTCTAAACATTTAGTTCTTTTATAATCTAATTTTTGTGTAATTTTTAAACATTCAACTTTAGTTATTCCTTTAAAAGACCTACACTTTATATAAAACCAACACTGTATATCTCTAAATCAAATATTATAATGAAAAACTTGTAGATATATTTATTAGACTATAAACTTTTGAAAAAGAAGGATAATTTTATAATAAAGAGAATTCCAAGCTAATATGGCTATTTCTTAGTAAATATTTAAGAAAAAAAATTATCAAATAATCTCTTCTTTGATATATTCATGTATAAATATATGTATATGTACACGAAAGTTGGTTAAAAAAAGAAAAATGTAAAAAATAACTAAAAACTGAGATTTAATGACCTACCATCTTTACGACCTTATTTTGATAAAATTTATCACATCTCACTTCGTTTCTGGGAAACTCCCCCCACACCCCATATCAAAACAATATGAAAAAGAAAAATTACAGTCAAATGAAAGAAAAATATTTTTGTATATTAAAATCTTAGAGAATATCAAGGAAGCCAAAACTAACAGATGTGACCATATTATTAAAAAAAGGAGCCTGAGCAGAGATTCAGGAAGTGCTGCATCTTAAGAATTCTCTCTTCCTACACATTTGTGAAGTAGCAAGAAAGCCCTCTACCTCACTCCCCCGCCCCTTCCCCCCACCCCCCAAAAAACCCAGAAATATTCAGAATCACACGGGAAAAAAATGACCTTGGCCTCACTCCAGGCTCTCAGGAATGTGCTTGAATAGTGATAGGGCGGGGTAGAAGGGATGTGGTAGCACTGCCCTTCCCTACTAGACCAAGTACCACCAACACCTTCCATTTAATGATGGAATAAAGCCTAAATTTTTTTAGTATTTTATTTTATTATTAGTTTCAAGTATACAATATATTATTTAGACATTTCTCTAGTTTATGAAACGATGCCCCCGATTACCACCCCTCTGCCTCTACACATAGCCATCACGTACATTACTGCTGACTACACTCCCGATGCAGTTAAAGACTAAAATTCAAATTCTTGTTAGCTTCATCCTTTTTGGCTTAAGTAAAACAGGGCCCTTGTCTGTATCATTTAATAAACAATCAAAGAAGACTCATTCTAATTTAGTCTTTTATATTTAAGTGAAGATGAGAACGCCACTCTTCTAAGCAGAGGCTCTGATAAGAAAAACTGGGGAAGGATCTAACGGAGTTGAGTCCCATAGCTACGGATATGGAAAGAAATGCTAGGAATGAGAGACAGAAGAAGAGCAAAAGATGAAGCTGAGATCAAACGTTTACTGTCATAAGTCATTCCCTATACCTGGTTACCATTCAGAGCTACCATCGCTGAAATCCCATTTCTGACAACCACAGCAGTTCTTGTAATCTGACTCTTTGGATGGATTAATTCATGCTCTTCCTTCCTTATGTAAGATGACTGATGCTCAGGGCTAGTGGGTTAATCACCACCACTCTGCATGTTTTTGTACTCACCAGCGGAATTAAATTCTTACCAAGTGTCAGCTGTATTTGTTGCAAACATGTTTAAGTCATTTATTTTTACATAATTATATAGCTGAATTAAATATTATGTAAACTAATGAAATTTGAATACAAAACTAGAGTGATTATTTTAATAAAAAACAAACCAAATGCTCTGAAATGACTACAAAATAAAATAAAACCCACAACTGAATTAAGTATATATAATGTACTATTAAATAGCACATATACTACCACATAATATCAGAAAAAAGACATAAAAATCTACTAATATAACATTCAGATTTCTTTATAAGTACCAAGGGTTAGTTAGCTCTAACTACAGAAAAAATACCCAGGAAATTGCAGATAATTATCGGTATGGTTTATATAAGAAAAATAACATGGAACTCTAATCAACAGATTCATATTCAAAGCAAAGCCTTCAGCTTTAAATCAAAATATTAACGACTAAATAAAACATAACATTATTGAATTTTAATTTATAAAATTAGAAGAATTTAAAAAAAATTCTTCACATTAACTGACTTTTTGGATTAACTCAACTACTGGCTTTGATTCCCACAAATAAGAGGGGCTTGTGTCATACCACCCCCTATCTTCCCAACCTAACCCACTCCCCTTCTAGCGGCCCTTCAGCCTCATCAAGATTTACAATCTCTTGGCCCTCTGCTAAAATGCTGCTTCGTCAGGCTCAATCTGGCTTTATTTCTCTTCCTATACCAGAAAGCCAATCACCTTAATTATACTCTCACAAACATCATCCCAATTTTCAGGCTTCCTTTATCTTCTTCATATAATACCTATTTTGTCAATTTCCAATTTCATGTTGACTGAACTGTCATTCTCTATTCTTATGTGCCCAAGCTACCAAAAGCTTTATGAGAAAATACTGTTAAATATGCTGATTAGTGCTATGAAGATCATTTTGAGCTCCGACTTTAATTATGCTTTTGAAGTGCCAAGTAATATTTAATTTATTTACATCTCCTTTATCTTTTTTTCTTTACCTAACAGCTGTTACAAACCTCTGTTCAAGCCTTCTCTTTATTTGTCCTTCTTCTCAGTGAATGATCTAATTCTTTCTTCACAGAAAAAAACAAATAATTGGCATATACTTCCTCAATCACCCTAACTGTATCTGAATCCATTTTTATCCTTCCCTCCTATCTCAGATAAAGTGGCTCATTTGTTTCCATTCTCCCCGCTCACATTACCTTCTGCACAATGCTCCAACAATGATCCTTTCCTTCTATCTTTTTTCTTTCACTGATTCCTTCCTTACATTTAAAAACATATTCAAGTCACTCCTACACACACATTCGAGAAAAAAACAGTTAGCTCTACATCCTCCCGAGATTACCATGCTAACTTTTTCTCTTCATAAAGAAGAAACAAATATTTATTACTTATATTCTCACTACCAAACATTTTAGTCTCAAGAACAGCCAAAGTCACCTCCTTTCATTCCAGAAACTCCTTCACATTTCCCTTCCTTCACCAATAGTCCACCTATAATTACAGTGAACTCCAGTTTATTTGGTTGAAAGTCCTAAGTCCCATCCTATTGGAACTCTGCCTCTGACACTGCCAAATCATTGCCTGCAACTTAAAATGCTCTTCTCTTGACTTCTGTGCTAACATTCTCTGCTGTTTCATTTCCTACTTCTACTCAGTGTCTCTCTCTATATCTTCCTCCAATTTCTTAAGTGACAATCTTAAGTGATAACTTTTGACTCTTGTCTCTCCTCTCTTTCCATTCTATTTATTTCTGGATCATAACATTCTCACTGACAGCTTTACTACATGTTTGTTAATGACTCATGAGATAGCTCCAATTCCAAATTTCTAACTACTCACAGGACATATCCATCTGGATGCCCCATTAAGATACAAATTCAGTATCTGAAGTGGAAATCCTCTTCTGAAAGTCATGCTACAAACAAAGAAGTTTCAAAAACATCTAACTCTTCCTTTACCACCCTCCCTCACCCTCACCAGTCCCTTAATTCCCACATTTCCTCCAAGTTCAGCCAATTTTACCACAGTTGTATCTATTCCCTCCTCTCTATTCTCACTGCCAATACCTAGTAGGTAGATCCAATACAGAAATGGATAAATATTCCATTGAGATAAGTAACAGGATTAGAGACATTTAAGTCCATTATCCTTACTCTGGACATAAACTAGTTAGAAACAATAATTTCCAGAGAATTCTAGTTAAGCTTTCCTGAGGTCGTAAAAGTTGTTCTTGGGGTATCAGATTCAGTAAAACATTTGTTATGTGATACTAAGACTGTATCACATGAATTTGTAGGCATTCACTAATTCTAATGGTATACATATGGGTTAGATATATAAATAGTATAGTTTAGGGTAGTAACACTTGACTAATACAGACCACCTTTCAAAAAAATCCATTTATATCAAGTGACACCCCTGTTAAAGAAAATCTAAAACATTTGAAATTTATTGTACTTTTAATGTCCTAAGAGATTACATAGTTCAAATCTCTGACCTTATGAATTCAAGAACTACTATACAGACAGGTCAACTGACTTTCACAGAACCAAACAAGTAGTCAAAAGACCCTAATAATCAGTTACAAAAAACTAGCACCTTATTTGGGTAAATACCATTTGTCATTAAAAATAACATTTAAATAATTATGATATTTATAATAAAGCCAAAGAAACTTTTTTTCTTTACATACACACACACATG